TCAGTATATATACATAGATAACATTAAATAAACAGAAGTAATTGTAAAATCGTATTAAAACTAATTGTTTGGAAGACTGTTTCAAACAAATGGTAATCCTATAAATTAGTGAGTTCGATGACCACTTTGAACTGAATAGAGCAGTTGTGAAGTTGTCTACCAACTTGACTGTAACATTTGCACAAACACTTAAAAATGTCTAGAACAATGATCGATGCAACATGAGAAACTCGGAAGCATCGAACAGTCGTTTCGTCCTGGTATGGGACTGACTCATCAGCAATGCGCATACATAACTTCTGCAACTTGCTGGATTCGAACTCGAGTGTGCAGCAGTGATCACCAAGGACAGTAAAGGAGGTTGCAAAAGACCACAGATTGATCGACGCTAGACATTAACACCGTTAAATACCGATACCTGCTCAGTGGTTCACAGGTTAGCTGACTGATTGACTTAAATATCTATGAGAAAACATATCAATGTTAGTAGGCTTTAAATACAAATGGTCAATACAACTGACATTACTTCATTCAAATGAGAATTTTTTTTAATTTTTGTGATTGTAAATCCAATCTGCAATTAGTTATGATTCACAATACAAAATGGTGTTTATTGGTAAATAAATACAAGGGGAAACACTGCTCAACTAATGTATCGTGCTATGTAACTCTCATCAACTACGTATGAGAAGACTGAGGCAAGCGAGGAAGATTGTATTATGCAAAGTTACACTCTAAGTCAGTTAAAAACGATGACATTACATTGAATATTCTATTTTCACACCATCTTTGAGTCGTGACTTCCAACACTCCACCCGTCTTCCATTCCTGTTGTTGCTTCCTTTCCTTCCTGTTGGTACTCCATTTACTTCTTGCTTTTGCTCCATTTGCTTTCCGTTTTCCTCTTCTGACCATGAGACTTCTTCTTTCATGTCCCTTCTGATACTACTTATATCGTTCCTATAAGTAGCACACACCACATGTATACCTGTTATGTTCAGGGAACTGATACCATCCGAGCGGATCCAATCGCATGTCTATCAGCTTCATAATCATAGATGATAACAATGAAATATTAAGCCCACACTGGTGGACTCTCTTATAGGATCGAGATATGTATACTAACACTGGATGAATCCTATCGATTCAGTTCAATCACCACATAGTGCGCGTAAGTAATGTCGAATCACTTGAAGCAACGAAGAAGGAATTGAAAATAAAAAAAAAAAGTAAATTTGGAAACACTACTTACACAGCATTATTAAATCCTATTGGTAATCCACCAGCCATTTGACTAAATTTATTTTCAACATATTTAAAACGTTCTGAAGGATTTAAATTTGGTTGTAGTATACTACAAATAACTATAGCACCAGAATTTATCAATGGATTATGTGGTTTATCTGTTGAATTAACAATAGAAAAAGATAAGAAAAATAATTAGTCAATGAGTTGATTAATCATTTGAAACAATTCATGAGATTTTTTTTTTGAGGCAGCGTTTGGGAGGTTTGTGTTTGTACACACATTTGAAATCATCAATCAGTCATTGTTAGTTAGACCATCACCATTAGAAATCTGGAAGCACTGAAGGACGGCCGTTTCGTCTTGGTATGGGACTCAACAGCAGTGCGCATCCACGACACCAGCACCTCACAGGATTCGAACCCGGGACGTTCGGTATTGTGCGCGAACGCCTAACCATCGGACCACTGGGCCGGCATCCAATGGTGTTAATGTCTAACTCTGATTGATCTAGGGATTTTGCGCTACCTCATCCATTTGTCTTTGGTAGTTACTGCCTACACCCGACAGGGTTGAACTCCATTGGTCACGTCTTCTCAACTAGAACTCCGAGAATTTCCTCAAGAAGCTAGTCACTAGTGAGCACTGCTACGATATTTTGGGGTACAGTTTTGGAGGTTTATGTTTTTACACATTTGAAATCATCAATCAATCATTGTTAGACCACCATTGCTGATGAGTCCCATACCAGGACGAAACGATCGTCCAGTGCTTCCAGGTTTCTAATGGTGATCTAACAATGATTGATTAATGATTTCAGATGTGTAAAATTCATGAGATGTCTACGAATGTACTCACAGTCAAGATCAATTATTTGAAATGAATGGAGGGGATTTTTTTAGGAATAGAACTATTTTCAATGGCTAACAAATCATGAATTGACCAATGTTAGAGTACCACCACTGGAAACCTGGAAGTACCAGGCAGTACGCGGGAATCGAACTCAAGACCTTTGGTTTTGCGCGTGGACACTTAACCTGTAGACTACCGAGTAAGCATCCAACGGTGTTACTTTAAAACTTCAATCATTCTATGATGTGACAGCAGTGGATAACTGTCGCTACCCGACGCCGACTGAACCCTACTGGCTACAACTTCTCAGGAATGTCTTCTCATGGGAGGGATTTGTGGAATTGTATAGTAGATAATATCAAGTAAAATGTTTATTAAAACATTTTACAGTTATCCGTCAAAACCAAACTGTTTTCAAAAGATTCATTTCATATAGTCCTTCTCATTATTAATTAACCTTATCTGGAAGTCTTAAAAGCACAAAACGGTTATTTCATCCTTAATTATGATTGACTCGTCAATAGTTTGCATCCATTAACAAAGGTACATGAGATCAGATAAAAAAGATCTTCAAACACAACTATAAGCACGATGCCTTCAAACATCTGTTTTAATATTTAAAGCATCTTATGTCTGACTCCGATTCCCGGTGTAATGTGTTCCTTGGCCTTCCTTTTTCCGTTTAGATTTGACAATTTCAAGTTAGGGTTTCGCTCGTGACGCAGGTAGGTGTTTTCCTTAATACGTATCCGGTCCACCTCCAACGATTCTTCCTGATTTCTTCCTCAATTGGAATCTGGTTTGTTCTATCTCACAGTAGGTTGTTGCTGGTGGATCCGAGATTTTGCTAAGGGATATATTTCAGAAGCTTTATGTGTCATAATGAGCGCTTAATACTTAGATGCCTTCAAACTATTATCTGAATCTTTACAGTATCTACATAAAAACAATGGCTGTTTTAAAGAATAAATGAAATGTAGCTACTGGCGTTATCTGGGACTAGGATTTCATCTTACTTCAAACATATAAGCTAGATATACCTGTCACTCTGTGTCAATGTTCATAACAAAACTTGAAACCAGTACCGTTCTCTTCAAACGCACTACATGGTAGACTACAGAGTCCAGAAAGCCATTCGGCTTGTCCAATGAGCCTGAGTTTTTTATCTCAATTAATATAACTATGAAGTGATTTTGCCTTCTAACTTTATTTTATTCTCATTGATTAATAATAATTTTGGACTTCTATTTTCATTGCAATCTAATTAAAATATATTTTTTCAATTAGAAATATGGAGATTAGTGTTTTAATACATTGAAATCATCAATCAGTCATTGTTAAACTATCATTAGAAACTTCGGAGCACTGAACGGCTGTTTCGCCTTGGTATGGGACTCATCAGCAGTGCTTATCCACAACTCCTGCGCCTCATAGGATCCGAACCCAGGACCTTCAGCCTTGCAATCAAACGCCCAAAAATGATAAATGATTGATGATTTCAACGTGTAAATACACTGATCTCTATAACTGTAGTTGAAAAAATTGTACAATGTGCTCACTAGCGACTAGTTTTATGAGGATGTTCGAGGATTTTTTAGTGAGAAGGCGTGACCAGTGGAGTGTAGACAGTTACTATCGAAGACAAATGGGTAAGGAGTAGCACAAAATCCCTATAATGATCGGAGTTAGACGTTGACACTGTTGGACTCCAGGCCTAGTGGTCCAGAGGTTGGGCGTTTGCGCTCAAGACCTCATGTTCTGAGTTCGAATCCTGCGAGGTTCAGGAGTCATGGATACGAACAGCTGATGAGTCCCATACCAGGACGAAACCGCCGTCCATTGGTTCCATGTTTCTAATGGTGATCTAACAAGGGTTGATTGATGATTTTAACGTGTAATTAATACATACAAAATCTATTCATAACAGCTATTTTATTGATAAATTCCTTACTGGAAATCAGAGTTAATCTGAGAGAAAAAAAATATCATTGGTTAGTTTAGAAAAAAATTTTCAGAAAACAAAAATACAACTAGAATTATTGGCTAATTTTAATATTCTGTTAAAATCTAATAAATTAATACAAATTGAGGAAAATATTTTGTATTGATTTTTCTTGTCCAGGTAGAGACTTTTACAGGAAATTGAAACAATTTTCATTGAAAAACAAAACAATACGTTTTCTGTCAGTCAGAGTATTTTTTTGTTACAAATTCATAAAAATTATTTTTTTCATTGGAATATAAGTAATGCAAAATCACTGCATTTTTCATAGTTCTACTTCAAGGATTGATTTAGACTAAGTAACCATTGAAAGTTAGAAAGTACTGGATAATTATTTTATCTGAGTATCAGACATTCTCAGTACTACACATCCGCGACCTTACTTACGTGTGTTTTTCCCAATGCAGTGTGTGAGTCACGGAAAGCACCAACGAAGACAGCGGTACAGCGATCAGAAAGACTACGACGACAGCTTATTAAAAGGGGGGACGAGTGTGGTGCGCGCTACTTATCAGTAGTATATGACGCGAGTAAAAACGTAATTTCTGGTAGCAGAAGGTGGAGGAAGATCAAGAAAGGAAGAGTGGGAACACAATGGGATTTGTATGAAACACAGGAATAGTGAAATGTCAGACAATGGATTGATGTTTGCAACAGGAACAGTCCAGTTCGATATGCTGGATTGATATTTTTGCAAATTAACGATTTACGATATGGTTTTCCTATTTTACCAATTAACTCTGTGTTAGTGGGACATAGATGGAATTAAAGCATTACTACGTTGCTACGCGCTGATTGGCTAATAGCCTATCCAATCAGCGCCTGATCGATTCTTCGAGAACAAGGCAGAAAATTCTCGTACTGTTAGCTGCATGCTGATTGGCTTATTCTAATCCAGTCGATCACGTGAATTTCCATCCAGAAGCTTCTCATGTAAATGCTACAAATAAACTAATGTTGTATCTATTTTTGGCCTTAGCCTTTGCCATCATCCTTCGCTTCTAATTTCCATTTAACCTTGCTATTTGGAATATAATCTTTTCCTGTTCCACCGTGTTTTTGATTCTTTGGAACTTGTCCAGTGTATTGTGGTCACAGAATACTAAGCAATAGGATTTAGCTGGGAAAATATCTAAGTAATCGTTACAGCACTCTGTAATTTAAGATAAATACAATTCGGTTGCCATCACCTGTGTTCTCCTTCACTACATTTGTTATTCATCCTTTTAATATCTGTATCCGATTCTTAGCTCAGTGCGTTCTTTGATTTACCTTTTTCCCTTTGCCCTTGAGGATTCTAAGTGAAGGCTTGTCCTGTGATGAAGTTGGGTGCTTTTCTCAATCATTGTGCTATCCATCTCCGACGCTTTTTCGTAACTTCTTGCTCAATTGGAATCTGGTTTGTTCTACCTCAAATTAGGCTATTGCTGATGGATCCGCGACTTTACTAGGGGATATATTTTAGAAGCTTTATATGTCACAATAAAACCACCTAACTTCTTCTTCAACTGGAATCTGATTTGTTTTATCTCATAGTAAGTCATTTCAAATGGATCTGAGAATTCGGTATGGGATATATTTTTGAGAAGCTTTAGGTTTCATCAATAGCGCTAAATGTTTTCATCATTGATTTAATGTTCAGTGGTATTGACAATTTTTTTTAATCCAGTCAATTTACAGTATTACCCAGCCAACTTTCATTTTTATTAATGAACATAAACACCTCATAGCTAATGAGAACAAATTTCATTACTACTTACAAAACTACTAATAACTATTTTATCATAATAACTCGATGAATTCGTGACAAAATGGACAAACAGATTGACCTCATTGTACTTACTCGATTACTGACGATTAATCTATCAGAAGTGAACTTTATTTAACAGAATTAATAAAAAAAATATTCTGTGTAATGACTAAGTGACTTTTTTGTTTGTAAATACAAAAAAAGTAATTTTGGTTTAGGTTTTAGTGAAAATTTGGAAAAGAGTAGAATAGATTTTTGGAAATGAAAGGATGTGTGCAGCTACAATGGATACTTTAGGGCTGTCAACTGCTTAGAGTTGGATATGATGTAAAGCTTTAAGTAGACATTGATAATTAATATCTGGAAGGAATGATTGTGGTAGAGTTTTGTTTTTATCTGAGCTGAACGTTTTGGTTGTGAAGCTTTCATCATTGTTCTTCTTCTGAACAACAATATCATCGACACAAACTTCAGGTATAGAAGAAGTGAAGTATGCGAATTTCTCAACTTATGACCCGCTGCTCGTTTTGTTAACCAACCACGATCTTGATCTGTTTCTTGATCCTGTATCTTCTTCACCTATGGTTATTTCTGATGACTGGAAGCTCCACAACTAATAAAAACATTCAGCTCAGAGAACGAAAATCTACCTCTCTCTACCCTAACCATCCATCCACCTGAGCTACAAATTTCCCTTCCACCATCTCAATGTCTGACATAACAAATGGAAAAAAGAACATTTTTAAATTTAGCCATTTTAATCCAGATAATTTAAAAAACACATAAACACACATCAAAAGAAAGCTAGGGGCGGCCAAACCAAAACATAAACATGACAGAAATCCATGAAGACGTTGACGAGTGGACTTAGCCATGTCGGTAATTGTCGACTACCTGGTTGGGGTCCGCGAGATGATAATAATCGATGGTTAGAGACCTTGAATGACATGGCTCAAAATCGTTTGCAATGGTGCCAGTGCATTTATTCTTTGTGTCCTCTCAAATCCTAATCTTCTGGATTCTTCAACCCCTCTAGTTTTGACTTTCTAAACTTTTCTCACTGAATCATATTTCTTGAATAATATCTTTTAATCGTAACCTCTCCAATTACTTCCAATACCTATACTACCTCTTCTACTATTGGATTTGAATTGACTATTACATTTCTGTGCTCATGTGGTATGGCAATATGAACTGATGTACGTACGTACGAAGTTCTACGTTGCATCTGACTGACTGACTGACTGACTGACACATCAAAAGTAAAATAACAAATATTATTATGTAATGTTTTATATAATATTATAACACAACAACTTACTTTTAGGATTTAATGAAATTTGATTAAATGGTAGCCCCGATGGTTCATAGCCAACGTATTGATGTACATGTTGTGGACCTAAATCAGTTAAAGCTAATGCATACGTGATTGGTTTGCTAGCTGATTGTATGGTAAATGGTTGATGACTATCACCCATTGATAAACTAATTAGATAAAGTGTTTTTTTTATTTTGATGAACAAGAAAGGAAGAAAGAGAGAGAAAATAAATAATAAAAAAAAGAGAATTAAAATTGAAGCAAACTATGTGTATTATTACTCTTAAATGAACTGATTATTATTTAGCTACGAAATCAATCATCCAAAAGATACACGTGTTTATTTTATTAACAGTTATCTAAGCAGAATACTTTGAATCAGTCTGCTAAACACTATCAACAACAACGTTAGTGTGGCGGAGAAAAATTTAGATTTCAGTGGAGGAAGAAATAAAGAAGAAGCGTTGGAAGTGGATAGGACACAACACACTGCGCAAACCACGCATCTACATCATAAGACAAGATGTTACTTGAAATTTTCAAGGCCAAACAAAGGAAAACAGGAAGTCCAAGGCACACTCACAATGACACCCGAAAATGTTGATGGAAATGAGAAGAATGAAAAGCAGTTGGATAGAACTAAAAAAGGAAGGCCAAGAACAAAGCAGAATGCTGGTGGGCGGCTTATGCTCCAGTTGGGGGTAACAGGGGAAAGTAGATAAGTTCATTCAACAAGGAAGAAAAAGATGATTTTCCTAAGCATTATTCACAAAACAGAATCAGCGAATCATTTGATGGTATTTAATTTTTTGAGTTTTTGTGATCTCACTTCGTGATTTATTACGTGATACTTAGTCGCTGTTATTATTTGGTCAACTTTACACATCATATAGTTTTCTAATGGAAATGTAGCAGAATAATAACTGCAAAGACATATAACTATCATCAACTTATATAAGTTTGTGAAAGTTTTAGTTTTTTATAATCCTAGTAGTTGAATCAAATAAACAAACAGTAACTGTTTATGAGCTCATTGTAATGTCCTGCAATGAGCAACTCATTTATAATCAAGGAGTGATTGCCTCATGTCAAGTGATGTTCGATCAAGTGACACATCTGAACTCCACCATTACGCCTACTTCGATTCGTCCACTCATTATCATGTTTTTACATTGACCTGTCAAACGAGTTGGATGTTAGGTACATAACTATGAACCTGAACTCTTCATTAAAAAGAAAACTCATTTTGTGTATTCCATATTCTAACGGTGGACTGGCAATGATCTCAACAGCCTCCATAATCCTATAATGAAAATCATAAAATGTGCTCACTAATGACAGACTTTGAAAGGAAATTCTCGAAATTCTAGTGAGAGTGTGTGAACAGTGCAGATCGACCCTGTCGGGTGGGGCAGTTAGACAATGAATGAGGTCGAATAATACCGTGGACTGATTGAAGTTAGGCATTAACACCGCTGAAAACTGGTTTAGTGGTCTAGAGATTAATGGTTTGCTCACCAGACCAAAGGTCTTCGGTTCAAATCCAGCGCACAGAGTTCGTGAAAGCGCACTGCTGAAGAGTGTCATACTAGGGCGAAACGTAAAGTCTATTTTAAAAAATAACCCATTCGTATAATAAATAAAATTATTCAACCACTTTCTTAAGAAACATTAAATTCTTTTAATAGACATAAACTACTGAATACATAATTTACCTATTTTTAAAAATAATTAATAATGTTGTGAATTCGAATATGTTTTTACGTTAAATAAATAAAAATTATTACTACTTCCAGGTATGATCATTACTACTAATAGTAGTATAAATATTTATATGATTAATTGTCAATGGATACCAATGCTTATTGTATGAATTAATCTGTGAAATAATTTTATCGGTTGGCTTTGTAAAGTATTTGCACATTTTATCTAGTCTGTCGAATCATTATACACACTGACTTAATTTAAAAGATTAAGCAGCAATTTTGTAAAGATATTTGATTGATTTCGTGTGCTACTGTTAAGGGGGAAGGAGGGCGGATATCACTCGCTGATAGCCTACGCCATGGAGGGATGTTTCTTGAGAAAGCTGAAAAAGAAGTTGGGTTGATATGCTTGAAACTATTATGAGTTCATCTAAGCCGGTAAACGATAGAGAGGACAAATAATGCAGTGACACGATAGGCTACTCTCATCCGAGCGCCCTAAGGCCCCACTAAGTAGATGAAGAATTCTTGATATGGAGTAGAAAATGCATTCTAGAAGTATCCAGAAAATATGAGGTTGACAAGCACACAAATCAACTTTATTTATACATCATTGAAACGTCCTTAAGAGAGCCTCAAAAATAGCGTACTAAAATAATAAATACATCAACCAAAAACAGCCAAAGATTTTCCAGGTGGGAAATATAATCTCAAGGTCAACTGATCAGCTCATGAGCTAAAACATAAAATTCAAAATCAGGACCTTTCTGATGTGAATCCTAAGGATCTAACGTCCCCAACTTTTAGTGTTGTTTTTAGTAACCTGGCAGAGTGATAATGTAGTATGGCAAATTGAACGGATGTACATAAGTGCCAAGTTCTAAGTTGTTACTCAAATGTACAGATTATTTAACATTAAATTTGTAATAGTCTTAGTTTAGATTCATGATACACTCATCAGTGTTACTCGATAACACAAAATGATACGGCACAAAGTTCGCCTAAAAAATGTTTATTCATTAAAACTCAATCAGTGTTCAATTTACACATTACATCACATAAAATAATTATTTCTGTTTCTCAGTTTTATTTCTTTCTCTTAGTCGACTAACATTTTTTGTTATGTTACTACTGTATTCCTTTTTTAACTCTGATTCACTTTATAGAAAATTAACTTATAGGAAATCATATGATGGATGATCAGTCAGTCGTCTATTTAAAGAAAATTAAATAACTGAAGTTACGCGTAGTTAATGGTGTTTGGATATACATTACTATCATAGGACACATTGAAAGTGAGAGATATTTATTTTTATTGCCCAAAAAAATCTATCACATGATATATTCAATGGGAAATAAAAGCCGAAGTTTCATTTGCTGATATTTAGTACTATATAATCTGTCAGTGTTTGTAGCATACGAGCATCCTGTGTGAATCGGCCCCGAATATATAGCCATTAGGTTACAACATTATTCGTAAAAAAATCGATAAATTCAAACAACCAATAAAAATCAATTAAAACTTCACCCCATTTCACAAGCGAGTGACTATGCATGCTCAGTATTAGCCAAGTGAATGGTACGATGACGTTTGAAGCGGATAATTCTAGGTTCGAGTCCGGGAGTAAATATCGACTCTGAAATGCAGGCACGTCCAGTAACAGACTGGTTTCAACTGTAAGATGCTACCAACCTCTACTTGAACAGGAGTTTATTTAGCAATTGCAATGTAATCAAGGACCGAGGAATCAGTCGATATAAACTATGAGAAACTTTTCTGTCTACTGAAGCGTAAAAATGAAGAGTCCTAGTATCATGAATCTTAAACTGATTTAAATCAGTTTATTTAGGGTTGGTTTTCATAATCAGCAAGTAAACTAACAGGAAACAAAATGTTTCATCCGAGTGTGGTGAGCGCCACTCATAAGATTACTGTTTATAGCTGGTAAACATTAGACTGTCGCCTGAAAGTCGCCACAGTCGACAGCTGACAACAAGAGTTTCAGGAGGTGAAGAGCATATATACATGTTAGGATATTCATCCAATATCCTAAGAAAAATATTTATGAGTCTAATTCTATTGATCAGTTCAAAGTGGTTAATTCCTACTGGTCAGTATTATGGTCATCCTAACTATCAATGTCACAGACTTCAGTGTTGGTTCCTATTCGACCTAACTGTATAAATTCGCATTATCTGCAACGTTTTATGAGCCGCACTCGGATCCCTAGTTCCGGGATCCTGATTCTCATCTGGACTCGGACCTCGTACTTTCTGGATGCTTGTAGAATACAGGTCTTACATCATATCAAGTCTCCTTCTTTTACCCAATGGGGGGGTTTTGGACACTTGGATTAGAGTAACATGTCGTGTCGCCGGATCCTCGATCCTTGTTATCGTTTTCCGACTAAGGTAAAATCGTTATTAGTTCAAGCAAAACAAATTGACGTGTTTACGTACATGCGTAACAATACATATATATATCAAAGCATTATATATATATATATATATATATATATATATATATATATATATATATATATATATATATATAGAAAATTACATTCATTCATCATACCGTTGTCCATCTACAGTGCATAATGATAAACCCCAATAGTCTGGATTCATTTCTTTTAATTCCGGTATATAACTGGCCACTTGACCACTATTATTTGCTTTGCATAAATTAAAAACTGTTTGAATTTCCCTTGTGAATGATTCAAAATCTGGTATACAAAAATCATTGATCATAATACGTAGCAACATGTGGAGATTTTCTTTAGCTACACTGAAATAAAAAAATATAAAATTGTGTGGTAATATGATAGAATTCATTTTATAACTGACTGCTTTCAGTAGGATACCTTAACCAATGTAGAAAAAAAGCATAAAGTTCCTCGACTGACATTTTATTCTGGCTTTGATGTCACTTACGAACGTCTGAGTTTATCCAAGACTCTGAGAATGCTGACAATCAGTAAGATACTTTGTAAGTCACTGAGTGAGTGTATTTATTGGTTGATATTTTCGTTATTTAGGTGTTATGTGATACAGCATGGTTATCACTGAATAAAAGCTTTAAGTCACCGCATCAATTCTAACTTTCCCGTCTTCACGGGTCATTCCATACTTGTTTAGACTGTTGTAACTTAGTAAATATCTAACCGTATTTACTAATTTAAAAACCCCATAAAAATATTTGGTAAGTCAGGTTGGATAGGACAAATAAGCCTTGGAATGCTTAGCAATCAAGACAATTCAACGAGCTAACCGAATGTAACCATGTTATATTTCCAAAATCTTTGACTTTGATAGAATTCAGCTGAATAAGTTACAAATCATTCAATAGTCTAGTTAAGTAAATATTCCAAAGTTTAAAAGGAATAGGCAAAACCTCTGAACCTCGATTTGGGATAGATAGTTCACATCATCAATGAAAATTGATGAACTTTGAACAGAACTGATAGATAAATGACACGACAATGATCACTACACAACAATAACGGGATGCACATATGTTAGCACTACATAAAATCATTCTCATCAACAGTAAATTGGTTGTAATGTTTTCTGTTATGAAAATGAGACAAATGGGTTCGATCTCCATACGTAGCACGAGCTCTAGTAAGGATTGTGAAAAGGTCAATGACTGAAAATGATTACAACACTTGAATAGATGCCGAAATATTAATTCTTTCCAACTACCTCTCAAAGTTAATATTATACCTTAAAAAGTAAAGAATCACGAATTATGTCATATATCTTACTAGTTTTATTCAGTTTACCACTTCATAAATTCCTGATCAATTAAATTTTCAAGGTCAGATACACTAACCACGCATTTGTATCTATACAGTTAATCATTTCTGATATGTTCTGCTAAAATACACTAACTATAATAGCATTATCTAACTCCGCCTGTAGACCCTTCGGGGCTACTGCCGGTCCGAAGCCCGGATAAAGGAGGAGGGGGTTGGGCATGGGGTTGGCGCCGTCATCCCAACTGAAAACTAACTTACCAAAAACACGCTAACCAGAAGAATATCATTATCTTTGTATGCAAGAAATGATGACCTGTTTGATCGACGCGTAACGTCCTCACCGCAAAAAAAGTTGATATGCTAGTCGACTGATAATGTTTGAAACTATTACGAGTTCCACCTTAGTCGGTAAACGAGAGCGAAGACAAATGATTCAGTGACATAACAGGCTACTCTAATACAAACTTCCAAGGCACCACAAAGTAGAAGAAGAAGTCTTCACAAGACATAGAAAGTGTGTTCTACAAGCAGCATTCAGAAAATATGAGGTTGACAAACACACAAATCGACTTTATTTATACATCGTAGAAACGTCCTTACGAGAGAGAGCCACAAAAATAGCCGACTAAAATAATCCATCAACATATAACAACAGTCTAGGATTTTCCGGGTGGAAAATATAGTCATCTCAAGGTCAACTGATCAGCCGGATGAATGAAATCCAAAATTAGGATCTTTAGCAAGTAAGTTCTAGGGATCTAACGTCTCCAACAAAAATTAGAAGTCATAGGTTCAATGCCTGCAAGAACAGTCGTTCGGCCAATTGAAGAATACCATATTCTCAAGAAATAGCTCTGTCTAATAGTATTTTTCTAATTTCTACAATCCATCTATCCTATAAAACTATACACCAACTTAAACAATCGTCATACACTTTGTGTGTTCTGATCAAACAAACGACAAGTGTTAGTAAGTATTAAAAATGTAAAATCAACAGTAAATGATAGAAAAAATATGAATGAAACTAACTATAAAATACAAATTAAATTAAATTAAATTCAATTCAAATAATCCTCACGTACATTCGAAATTTTTCTCTATCTAATATTAATGATTTACTTTGTTGTATGACATTTTGATTAATTTTATTATTTTGTAATTGATTAATTGATTTGGTAAATTCTGCCAATCTTGGATCATTCAATGAGATGCCAGTTTTATTCATTAACTTTAAAAAGAAGCAAAAACAAATAGATAAAGATAGTTCGAAAGAGATGATGATGTGTTGTAACATTGAGAAAAAAAATGATGTTCTTGTTTTTAATGATCAAAAAGCTATGAACTGTTTGTTATCAATGGTAGAGCATTATTATTATTAAAGCTACTAGAGGTAATTGTATAGCTGTTTCATCCTAGTATGCAACTCATTAGCAGTCAATCAGTCAGTCAGTCAGTTAGATGCGAGGTAGAACTTCGTACGTAAGTACGTACATTAGTTCATGTTGCCATAACCACATTAGCACAGATATGTAATTGTCAGTTTAAATCCAATAGTGGAAGAGGTAGTAAAAGTATTTTAGAAGTAATCGGAGAGGTTAGGATTAGAAGATAATATTCAAGAAGTATCATTCAATGAGATAAGATTAGAAAGACAAAACTAGAGGTGTTGAAGAATCCAGAAGATTAGGATTTGAGAGAACACAAAGAATAAATGCACCGCCGCAATTGCAAACGGTTTTCAGACATGTAATTCAGGGTCTCTAACCATCGATTATTATCATCTCGCAGACCCCAACCAGGTAGTCGCTAACTACTGACATGACTCAGTCCACTTGTTAGTAATTTCATGGATTTGTGCCATTTTTTAGTCTGGCCACCCCTAACTTTCTTCCAACCTATTCCTACACTACAAAACAAAGTTCGTCGAGGCAGTCGTCGGTGGTTAGGCATACGCAACACATGTCCCAACCACCTCAACTGATGAAGTTTCACTACTTTATCTATTGACTTGTCATCCTTACCTAGCACCCATTTCCTAATAACAGCGTTGCTCACTCGGGTGTCCCAGGATATACGAGCAGTGCTTTGAAGATACCTATGATCAAAAACCAGTAACCTACGAACATCTCCTACTCTGACTGGCCATGTTTCACAGCCATAAATTAAGACGGAGCGAACCACTGCACAGTACACTCGTCCTTTAGTCAGCAAACGGATATCTCGCGTACGCCATAGGTGACGCAGGTTGGCAATAGCCAGCTCTGGTGTCCCCTCATTTGCGGATAAATCTTCCACTTTTTTTTCATCAGCAGTGCACATTCATGAAACTACTGCAAGCGAAAACCGAAACCAGGACCTCCGATCTCGCGAGCACTGTCTTAACCCTTTTGATCATTGGGTCGGTAATTCAACGGTCTTAATGTGTGTATAACTTCAATCCATCCATGTGATTACCAGATCATCCATTGTTTTTCGTCGGCAATCGCCTCGTACTCGACACGATTGAACTTCTCTGTTCACAGCTTTTTACTAGAACGCAGAGAATTATGCCTAGTTGTTTATATTGTCATGATACAACTGAATATGAAGGAAATCATAAAGCGCATTCAACATATGATATAAGTTTGAGTCAAGAATTCCCATCAACTTTGGAAAACTAGTTCACATTAGATTCTGAAGAAGGGGATCGTTTCATCAGCAATTCATATAACCGAAACTTTAACATATCAACAATCGAATAACAACTTCATATCTTAAATCATACATTAAGTTCTGAAAACATTAACATTATTAGATTCATTGAAAAAGAAGAATGTGATTTATAAGTTTTGGGCGAATGTATCCATTGTATGATTCTGTTCAGTATGGTTCAAATAAATTATATATATATATATATATATATATATATATATATATATATATATATATATATATATATATATATATATATATATATATATATATATATATATATATATATATATCTTTAAGAACCATTTTTGAAACTTGTGAACAT